AGTAGTAGTAGTAGTAGTAGTAGTAGTAGTAGTAGTTGTTGTAGTAGTAGTAGTGGTGGTGGTGGTGGTGGTGGTGGTGGTGGTGGTGGTGGTGGCGGTGGTGGTGGTGGTGGTGGTGGTAGTAGTAGTAGTAGTATGTCTGTGCCAGAGCGCGGCTGGCCACTGGATCGTGCTCCCAAGTTCGGGTCCTGTGAGGGCGCACTTTGGGGGTCCCCACTGCGTTCGGCTTCCCGCCGCCACGTTCGGCTGCGGCCGCCTGGGGGGGAGAGTAGCGCCGCAAGTTGCCAGCGACAAGTTGGAGGAATCGCAAACATGGATTCAGGCGCGTGGATTATCGACGGCTCTATTTCCATCCAAGATTGGCGCGCACCGTCGCCAAATCAGGCGGAACTGGCTGCATGTTTCGGAGGGTGCCTTCCCCGACTCGTGGATCTGGCGCCCACGCGCCAGATCCATGGATCCCATGCCAGCGTGCGCCAGACCAGTGGGTTTTACTCTCGTGTTCGATCCCTTGGGGGCCTCTTCAAAACGGGCGGTCTGACTTTCGCCCGCGGGCGCCCAGAGCTGCTAGGAGGTGACCCCCCCGTTGCCATGATGTTTTGTCCACGACGTGGACCCCCAGAGGTCTGGACCTTCTCCTCGGGACCAGTTGCTCATCCTGGAATGATCCTGGGCCGTTCTCTTGGTGGTCCTGGGGTCCAGCGGGGTCCCCCCGGGGCCCCAATCTTGTCAAAACTTTCCGTTGCGTTTTTTGTTGCGACGCGAGGGGGTTTGCCTGTGTCACGCCCTGCCCTGCGGGCGGCAACGGGCCGCGGAGGTTGTGCTGTGCGTCGTCCTGCTCGGGGTTGTCTGGAAGGTCGCGACGGGCTAGCGCTTTGTGCGGCCAGGGGGGCGCGGGCCGCGCGCAGCGCGCGCGTGCGCTCGCGCGGGGGGGATCCTCTGGGAGGCTTAGAAGTCGGCACCAGCACTGATACTGGCAGTTCTTTCCGCCGAGCGAAGATGATCCCGATTTCGGTGATGGTGGTAGTGTTCGGGCTCTCTCAAGCGGCCGAGATATTAGCACCTGCGCCAAGATCTAAGATCATCTGCCCCCAGTGGGGACACCCGTTGTCTTGGTGTTGGTGGGTCTGCAGCCTGGTTTTAAGCCTTTGGCTCAAACCGCTGTCTCGAGAGAATTTCGCTGTTTTGATGCGCCCGGGGCGGCGGCTGCCCGTCCGCTGGGCCGCCGAGGCGATGGAGTCCACCACGGCGCGGCGCCGCGGGCGCCCTGGGCACCGTAGCCGCCACCAGTGCCAGGGGCGCCGCGGCTGCTGCGGGCGCCGTCGGCGCCGCGGGCGCCGCGGGCGCCGCGGGCGCCGCGGGCGCCGCGGGCGCGGCCGGCTCGGCCTGCGCGGCCGGCGCTGCGGGAGTCGGCGCCGCGCGCGCAGGCGCCAGCGGCGCTGGTGGAACGGACCTGGCCGCCGCCTTGGTTCGGGGACGTGCCGCGGCCGTCGGCTGCGCCGCGGACGCGGCCGCCGCCGCGGAGGCCGCCACCGTCGCTGGCATCTGGGCGACGGCGGCGGCGCTGGCGCGGGCGGCTGGGTGCGCGGCGACCTCGACGCGCCGCCCTGGCCATGAGCAGCGAGCCATGCCGCTGCTCATCGGAATGCTGGTTCCCTCTTGCTGGAACCAGACGCCCGGCCTGGCGCCTCGCCCGACGCCCAGCCCCGCACCCTGGAACCCCAGGCCGTGCCCTCCGCCCCGCCCGCTGCCCACCCCTCCGCTTGGCTCGATGCCCCGCCCCCAGGCCTGTCCGACGCCTCAGCCCTCAGCCCAACCCAACACGAGCAGCTGCAGTGCTAGAGTCAGCGAGTTCCAGTTTGAGCGTGGGCCCAACGCGATCAGCTACAGTACTGGCATCAGCGAGTGCGAAGGTGGGGGTGCGCTGGCAGCGGGCTATGGTGTTGCTCAGCGATGCGCGGGCGGTGGAGGTAGAGCTCGACGCCATAAGCTACATTGCCGACATCGGCGAGTGCGAGTCTCACGCAATCAGCTGCAGCGCCAGGTTCAGCCAGTCAGGCTGAGCCAAGGGCCATCAGCTACAGCGCGGGGATCCGCGAGTGCCGGTATTGTATCCGCGCGATCAGCTGCAGTGCCAGGATCAGCGCTTTCGAGAGAATGGAGAGCGGCGGCAGCGGGGCATGCCGCTGCTCGGCGACGCGCCAGGTGCACAGTCGGAGAACAGCTCGATCTGCTACAGTGCGGAGATCCGTGAGCGAGAAGATGCAGGGCAGTGGCAGCGGGCCGGTCTGTTCCCGCCGCCTCGCCCCGCGACGCCGGGCCCCGCGCCTCGCCCCGCGCCCCCGCCCCGACGCCCCGCCGCTCGCCCGATCCGACGCGCCCCCTGGCGCTGAGCCTGGAGCCCAGCCCTGCACTCCACCCGCGTGGGCCTGAGGCCGTGCCGCTCGCGCGCTGCCCGTCCCCTTCCCTTCGCCCTTCTGGCCTCTCTTCTCTGCCGCCCCGGCCCTCGCTGGCCGCGCGTCCCTCCCCGGGCCGTGCACCGGGCTTCTCTCCGCACGCCCGGACCGTGCTCCTCGCAGCGCAGCGGGCGGCCTCTGGCGCCCTCTCCCTTTGCTCTCCCCCCCCCCCCCTCTCCCCCGCGCTTCTCGCTCTGCATCGCCCTCCTTTCTCCCTCCGCCGCCTCCCGCCCCCCACGGCGACCGCCCTCGTGGCCCTCCCGACGATGCCCCCGATACGCCAGGCCCGACGCCTGGCCCGACGCTTCGCCCGGCGCCGTGCCGGGCGCTGCCCCCGGCGCCCGTGCCGGCACCCGAGTCGACTCGCCTCCCGACGCCGACGCTCGGTCTCCGATGGGGGCACCGCTCCGGCATGCTCGCCAGCGCAACGCGGGTCCCCGAGGCGCAGCCTCTTGCCAGCGCAGCGCCCATCACCAATCTCCCAGGAGCTTCACCAGTGCAGCGTAGATCACCGGCGCCGGCATCCATGCCAGCACGCCCAGGAGCACCGACGCCAGCATCCTCGCCAGCGCCGCCGCCAGCATTGCTTGGGGTATCGACGCAAGTATCCTCGCCTGTACAGTCGGGGGCAACGACGCCAGCAACCGTGCCACCACTGCCGTAAGCACCGACGTCTTCATCCTCGTCAGCGCCGCCCGGATCACCCGCCAGCACCCTCGCCAGCTCCAGCGCTCAAGGCGCGCGCTCCAGCTGCGGCGCTGACGGGGGCACCGGCGCCAGCATCATCGCGAGCGCAGTGCGGTTCACCAGCGCCCGCGTCCTCGCCACCTCGACGCGGAATGCGAAGCTAGGGCCCGAGGCGACCAGCTACCGTGCTGGAGTCAGGCGTCGGATTCCCTCCTCCTTTGCCTCCTCCTCCTGGCGCCCCCCCTGTTTGTTTCTCTCCTCGTTTCCCCTTCCGACGTCGACGCTTGGCCCGTCGCCCAGCCCGGCGCCGAGCACGACGCCAGAGACGCTCCAGCTTTCTGCCGCCGTTGACGACGCCAACGCTTTCAGCCGCGGCGCCGCGATCGGCGAGCGCGATGTCTGGGAGCAGTAGCAGCGGGCCCCGCCGCTGCCCAGCGGAATCCTGGTGGGGGGGCTGCAACCCGCCGCGACTAGCCCAAGTGTTGAGGCCAGAGCCCCCTCGCCAGCAAAGCGCGGGTCTCCGACGCCTCGCCAGCGCAGCGCGGATCACCGCCGCCAGCACCCACGCCAGCCCAGCTGGAAGCACCGTCGCCAGCATCTTTGCCAGCGCAGTTTGGGAACCTCTGGGGCCAGCAGCAACCCCGGCACTGTGCGGATCCCCGACGCCAGCGCTCCCGCCAGCGCTGCCGGGAGCACCAATGCCAGCGCCCTCGCCAGCACTGTCGGCTCCCTGGCAGTGGCACCATCCCGTCCGGCACGGTCTCTTGCCGGCCTGGTGCCGCTGTTGGCATGCCCATGCGCGCCAACCCATCAGTTTCGGCTGTTTGCCACCCTTCACCGAGCGCGTTCCACTACTCGCAAAGTGCCCACTCGCAAACGTCCGAAAACCACATATCTGCTTTAGTGGAATTTATCGTAGATCCCCCGCGACAGATCCAGGCCCTTCGCGAGTAATTAGCTACTGTGCGAGCAGTGGAACGCGCTCGTCTAACCCTGGAGGCAACGTTGCTTCCGCGCCCTGGGAATCGACTGAGGCGGCCTTGCGCGGCGAAGATTCAGGAGAGGAAAAAACACACAGACACAATTAATCCTCGATTCCCCAGAAAATATGGGAGAACATGGGAAGTGGGGTGGAAGACAGAAACCCAGAAAATATGGGAAAGTATGGGGAATCTTTTTATTTGTGTGTATTTATTTGTGTGTCCTGGGGCCCCTTCCAAGATGGCGGCGCAGCTGAACGTGCCCGCGGGCGGCGTCGTGCAGACGGCCGGCCTTCCCTGCGGACACCTCTGGCGCCTCTCTGCGGGCAGGGCGGGGCGGGCGCGGGCCGCGGGGGAGGCCGCGGGCCACTCGCGGACCCTGGGGGGCAGCAAGAGGATCCACGGTGTGGGGGGGGCGATCAGTGGAGAGGAAGCACGTGGCCAGATAGTTTCCAGAGGTCTAGAGCATGTGTCAAGCATGCCTTAAACAGCTAAAAACCTGCTTAAAAAAACATGTTTAGAACACGGGCTCGGCATTTTAAACACATGTGTAAGTTCAAGGATCGGACTGTTAGGGTGTCCATGGTCGTGGCATCCACAACCACGGTGAAACGACGGCCGGGGTGGCCGGGGCGGCTCCTCTTGGGGAGGACGAGGCACCTGGTGGCGCCCAGACCCGGGATGCTCACTCTGGTGCTGCTTCTGTGACTGGTTGGCTTGCCGTTTCGCGTCGCCTGGGCCCGGCTTAGGACGTAAGTCGGGCCTGTCCCTCTACGCGGGGAATATTCAAGAATAGTAAAAACAAATAGTCTGGGGACTTTTTGTTGTTTATTTTATTTTATTTATTTTTTATTTTTATTTTAAAGCAATTTTGGAATACTTTGTGACTTTTTTTTTCCGTCGAAAATCCTTCTGTAGGGGGGACGCGCCCGACTTAACTCAGGACCGCCCCGACCCCCTGGCAGGGCTTGGGGTGCAGCCGCCCGAATTCGACCTGAACGACTGCGCGGGTGGGACAGGCTGCGCGCCATGCGGGGCGGCCCGCTTCTGCCAGCTCTGGCTGCCCCAGGCCTTCTCGTCCGCCGGCGTGGACGAGCGGCAGCGCGGAAGCCCCTCAACGCGTTGCCTGTCTCGACCCCGTTCGGGGGGCGACGTTCGATGGGCCGAGCGGGCCCCTGCGCTGCGGGTGCTTCCTGCAGGGCGACGGCGGCGGCCAGGCAGACGCCGCGGCCGCTGTCGCCTCCGAACAGGCGGGCGCCTCCGCCATCTGCCGACTGGTGGCTGGAGGGCGATGCGCGCCCCTGTAGAGCGAGGACAGCGCTCCCGCGTGGAGGTCCCAGCTGGGGAGACGGGAGACAATGCGCACGGCTCCCATGGAGCCTCCAGGCGCAGGCGTGGCGGCCAAGGCACCCTGTGCCCCGGGCCTTTCGACGTACAGCGAATGCGACCAAGCAGGCGCAGCGCGCGTGCGCGAGGCGGGTCCCCGAGAGGCCCCTGGCGGCAGGCCGCCAGCGATCCAGCGCTCGAGGCGCGCGGGGAGCGTGCCAGGTGACCCGCGGGTGCCTGAGGACCCGCGCCAACCGGGAGCCGGACGTGCGCGGAGGCTGGCAGTGCAAAGGACACGCCCGGCGTGCCCGGCGACCTGGGTGATGTCTGGGTCCGCTCCTCGTTGTCTCTTGGCCCGACTCTTGGCACTCCCTTCTCCCCTGCCCTCCCTGGTCCTGTGCCTGTGCCTGGTGCTGGTCGTG